AAAAAAATCAATATTTGTATTATTACCTAAAACCGCAGGAGACTTAGAGTACACCCAATTTAAAACAATTAGCTCAATAAGTCATGCCGGTAAATTTTTATGAAACATAATTTACGTAGAATACACTTGTGAATAAAGAGTGGGTTATCTGATGATCAAAATACGTTTGGAAAGGGAAAAGGAACTAGAGAAGATATATTTGGTTTGATAATTTTGCGTGAAAGGGATTTAGAGGTCCAAAGAAATTTGTATGTCTAATTTGTTGATATTGAAAAAAAGAAGAACACTTCTGATAGTTATACAATACAATAAACTTAGATTATTCAATCCACACGAAAATTCCTCTAAGCAAATTGGTCACGGACTGGTCAACTTAACATAATCGAAAAAGTAACTTAACTAGTTTAAAATTTTTAAAAATCTTCTTAACTTAACTTATTAGAAAACAAAATAACTTAACTTGCTAAATTAAAAAGATAATTGCCCCATGCCCTGCATACATCACCTAACCCGCCAATGTACGGCCATACTAAAAAACCTTTAAGTGAGTAGCGAGATCCAACCCACACTATGTTTATAATATTAGAATTAATAAAACACTATACCTAGACTATATCAGATCTCTGATAGATTACCAAGCACCAGCCCTGGTCCTCCGTGACGGGAAAAGCGTTGTCAATCTATTTTTGTTTTAATTATTTTTTTACTTACATACTTAATGTGAGGAAAGAACTAGGAATGTCCGGTGTCAAAGATAGAATAATTGATGTGAACCTTATGATAGCCCTGACGCTCTTCCGTGGTGATCCAGACATCATTGTTTCCCCTGAAACTATTAGCGTACGGGGGAATCTAAATGGATACAAACTATAGTTATAGTACACATATGAGGATGTTTGGACTCGACAATATGTAATGTACAAAGCTGAGAAACAACAGAGCTTCCTACCATCTTGGCGAAAAGATCCCTTCAACATCTCAAAACCATCCATACCCACCTAAACGACTCATCATACACAATTCTTTTATCCAAACACCGCCAGATTAAGAACTCTAGAACACATCACAATCTACAGACTGAAAATACCATCACAGAGGCCACCTACACTGATGGCTCTCCAAACACTTTTTGTGGGAGGACTGGGAGTGCTGTCATTGTGACTCAGCATCAATAACTGGGCATCCACTCTACAAACTGAATTATTTGCAATACTCACAACCCTGAAACTTGTTTGAAGACACTACCACTGACATTCTCATCACCACCGACTCTTATTCTCGCTATTTTCTCTCGATATCCTCAAATCAAATTGTCACCCGCATGTCTCTGAAGCCAGCACAACTTATGCGCCTTGTTGTCGAGGTTATAAGGATCAAGCTGCTGTGGATACCCTCTTACATAGGCTTCAGAAAGCATGGTAGAGTTAATGCGAAAGCAAAATTTGCGTGTTACAAACACTATTGAATACAATCTAGGTCTATCAAACACAATTATAAAAACTGCAATCAGGAAAGAACTTGTTGATGAATTTGAAGCAAGCAGTCAAGTGCAAACAGGCATAGTCAATGCATTGTTTACCATGAGATGTATCAAATGAAACATGTATATGGAGCAAGTAACAAGATCACTAGATTATAGGATGTTGCAACTGCTAGACAAATGTTAGGATATAAATATAGGCCTCAAGAAGATGTGAAAAAAGCTAAATGTAAAATGTGCAACCAGACATATGGCCACACACTCCAGCACTACATTCTAGACTGTGAAAAAATATAACTTTTTAGGGATATATGCAGCCATACTGTGTGTATACTTGCACATTTTATCTTTGATATCAAGATAGCTGATATATTAAACATGTCTCAACATTGTGCACCTACGATTAGTAGTAGCTCAGTAAACTTCTATGAACTGAACTAAACAAACAATGTAGTGGAAATACTCTGTAACACTCGCCGCTCCAATATCCTGACCACTGGGGTTTGATAAACATCCCTTGTGACCTCTGGTCTGTATTTTTTTTTTTTGCTTTACCGTTCACAGGATGAGTATGGGGTACACAATAAACTAGCTGCTGTCCGCGACAAAATTCAAATTCAATTACCTACTGCTACCACCACCTACCTCTACCACTACCACCACTTCCCACAACCACTACCACTACCACCATCCACCACTGCGACTACCACTCCTACTACCTACAACAACCACTAACTCAGTCAACCACTAACACCATCTACCACTACCACTCCCACCACCTACAACTATCTCTACCACCGCTACCATTACCCCTGACATCGCTTACAACTACCACCATCTACACCTACCACTACCACCACTTAAGCATGCCTCCACCTACCACAACCACTTCCACCACCTACTACTCCCGCCACGTACTCCTACCAATAACTAACATTACCACTACCAACAACTGGCACCTATCATTACTACTACCACCAACCAATGCCGACTACTACCACCTTACCACCAATCTAAACTTACCTTTATCACCAACCAACACCCATCACTAGTGAAAGAGAGAGAGAGAGAGAGAGAGAGAGAGAGCTAAGTGATCACTACAAATCATCTGTCAGACAAACATCAATCAGAGATACCTGTTCACCCAACCCGGAGTCTGAGAGAATCTTGAGATAATTTTTTCCCCTTTAGCTTGGTGGATTGTCAAAAGTTCTTATGTTGAATATTTCCTCTGATACAGGACGCGTCTAGTGGGTTCATTAAATCGACAACAAGGAGGTGGATTTCCTCCCCAATTGGACAATTGAGAAGGCGCTGGATTGGCCCATTTACTCTACGACACAAAAGTGGATTCGTACAGGTTTGCAATTTTTATTTTTTCACATAAATTGACACAATTTTAGCTACGACGCTCCGATAATTCTATAAGCTTCTCACGTTATAATTTTGCTTCCTGATTGGAAATTTGAGAATGAATTAAATTGTCTCTCGTCATCTCCGAGTCTACGACACAAATATAGTTAATGGAGATTTGGCACTGTAGCGATACCTCCCCAGAATACCGTAACTAAGTAGTTTAATGTCCTCGTTTAAGGCATAAGATAAACTTAAGTATCAATGCGAATAAAAATAAAGTTCATCTCAAGATTAGACACACCAGATTATTTCACCTGAGCATTAACTATCCAAACGATAATTAGGGGTTAGGTTAAGTCAGGGTAGATTAAGTGAGGATAGATTAAGTGAGCTTAGGTTAGTGGAAGGATTGGTAATCTTCACAAAGAAAGAAAGAGACAGAGAGAGAGAGAGAAAGACAGAGAGAGAGCTTCCATTTATTATTTTCCTTGTACCATAAGACAATGAGAGAAATAAGCTTCACCCCTTTGCAAGTTTCCTTATACAAACACAAAAACTAGAGTCCAGTTATCTTGTTATCGTACAATTGTGTGTGTGTGTGTGTGTGTGTGTGTGTGTGTGTGTGTGTGTGTGTGTGTGTGTGTGTGTGTGTTAAAGTCTGTTCTCAGAATTTCGTATATATGTTAATATTTCTTTAGTAATATATATCTGATTTATATGAATGTTATCCAGTATAATAGTCACCTATGGCTGACATTTTATGGGTCTGGTTATCGATCAACAAGAGACTTTTGGCTTCCCGGTAAATTGATTCCTTGTTGTTTCGTACAGTGTTAACTGCTGAGCCTAACCTAACCTAACCTAACCTAGCCTAACCTAACTTAACCCAACCTAACATAACCTAACCGAACCGAATCGAAAATTTACCTAACCCAGCATAATCTAACATAACTTGACCGAAAATTTACCTAACCTAACCTAACCTAACCGAAAATTGACCAAACCAAACCACACCAAACCTCAAACAAGCCTAACCTAACCATCTTTGACATAAGGTTATAAAGGTTATCCGAGAGAGGAGTGTAAGGAATGTAAGAGAGATAGATTGTGGGATGGAGTGGAAGGAAGGAGGGGAAGGAGAGGTGAGGAGTGGAAGGGAAGAGGGATAGAGAAAAGCAAGGAATGGAAGGGAGGTGAGGTGGAGAGAGGTGAGTAGTAGAAGGAAGATGAGGAGGAGAGAGGTGAGGAGTAGAAAGGAGGTGAGGTGGAGAGCGGTGTGGAGTGGAAGGGAGGAGGGATGGAGAAAGGCAAGGAGTGGAAGGGAGGTGAGGAGTAGAAGGGAGGTGGGTAGGGGAGAGGTGAGGAGAAGAAGGGAGGAGGTAGTGGTGTGGTAGTGGACAAGAGTGGTGGTAGTGGTGTGGTAGAGGGTGGGGAATTGTGGATGGGTTGGTGTAGATGGTCAGAAAATGTGGTAGTGGTGGTGCTTATGTTTTTATACGTAAACTCACTTCTGTTATTTCTATTATTATTTCTTTCTGGTGGTGGAGATGGTCCCTAGGTGGTGGAGATGGTCCCTAGGTGGTGGAGATGGTCCCTAGGTGGTGGAGATGGTCCCTAGGTGGTGGAGATAGTCCCTAGGAGGTGGAGATAGTTCCTAGGTGGTGGAGATAGATCCTAGGTGGTGGAGATGGTCCATAGGTGGTGGAGATGGTTCTTAGGTGGTGGAGATAGATCCTACGAGGTGGAGATAGTTCCTAAGTGGTGGAGGTGATCCCTAGGTGGTGGAGATGGTCCCTAGGTGGTGGAGATAGATCCTAGGTGATGGAGATGGTTCCTAGGTGGTCGAGATAGTTCCTAGGTGGTGAAGATGGTCACTAGGTGGTGGAAATTGTTCCTAGGGCATGGAGATGGTTCGTAGGTAATGAACATGGTTCCTCGGTGATTGAAATGGTTCCTAGGTGTTGGGGTTGGTATCTAGGTTGAAATTGTTTCTAGGTGATGGAGATGGTGTGTATGTGCTGAGGATGCTACTTAAGACAGGGAAGTAGCTCCAGCAGATGGTAGGGGAGGGGTATAGGGAGCACGAGAGGGGCTGGAGGTAGCGGGAGGCGGGGTGGGGTGTCGGCTATATCAACCACAGTGAGATGCGGAGACCAGCTATTGACTTGTGGACGAGCGTCACACACGAAGGGTAAGTTACTGCTCCTCGCTCCCTGGTTGAAGTTTACTTGTGGCGTGACTGCCACACTGACTTTATCGCCAACCCTCGTTGTGACCATGAGACACAACACTGTGTAGTGTGTCCTGCATTAAATGTTTTGAATTTTCAATTAGTGAAATTATCTTTTTAGTGTCTATTTGTATAGCCACAGTGTCTGTATCAGTAAGTCCTTCACCACACAACCCTACAACAACTGATGTGTACTGCTGTGAGGCTTAAACTATACCAAGACAATCGTGTCGATTACGGTGATCCGACACCTCTGAGGCACTTCGGATGTGTACGTGTGTACCATGTTGTTACCTGCACACCATTGTCTGAACCTTCTGGCACAATAATAAAACCTTACTGTGAACATGGCAGTCTCTATTTATCTATCTAAGAATCAATTAATTATGCAATTAATGTACAATATCTCCAGCTGATTTCATAAGACTTCTTTTATCTATTAACTTCGGGTTGTTCTTCCTAAACATATACAATGTGTTTATGTCCAGCTCAGAGGTATGAGACATTACGTGTGTTAGTCAGCCGTCCGTCCCTCCGTAACTCATACATTATAACACTGTAGAAACTGCCCAACAACAATAGATGGATTTGTGCCAAAGGTCAAACACACAGTGGACTGCAGCAATAGTGTCGGTGTGCAATATGTATTTTTTGATCTTCACCTTAGTTTGCCACCTCACCAAGCTTACGAAGATTATGGGAATCACAGCGTCACGTCCATGAAGTGACATCAAGGAAAGAGCCAAAACAGAAGGAAGAAAAAACAACAGAACAGTCATAATATAAGGATAAATTAGCCTCACCTGACGTCGAACAGGTAAATACACAGTGAACCTACAGTAGATTGCTCTCACAGTGCACCAAGTGAAAACCCTCAGAAAATCACAAAACTTCCAACCAAAACTTAAAAATAGAGAAAAGAAGAGGAGTTCAGCTCTGGTGATGGAATGGATATTGGGTAAATGATAATGAAACTACCAAAGCAACAATAAATTCCCTGGACATAATATCAAGAAGAAAACTGGGACTAAACGTTGACACAACATTTGAGTACTCCGGAGGCATTCTACATGACAAGGTGGGAGAAGGGATACGCAACAGAGAATTTAAATGGACATACCACGACCACCAAAGCTTGATTTAGCCACAACAGAAAATGTACTATCAGTGGAGACGGTTCTGCGCAAACAGAAAGACTGCAGTTTATATGCCATGACACACCCAGTTACAAATTTGCGAGTATAAGTGAAATCATGTGAGCCCCAACCTCAACTGCCCATTAACCTCTGTACCATTATTCAATGTATCCCCCACAGCCTCCTCCTCCCTCTCCCCTCTCTCCCCAGCTCCTATTTCACCATTCAGACATGATGTTCTTACCTAACCCCAGCCACAGACAGCGCGGAAAGATAAATCTATTTCAGCAGAGATGATATAGGAGACAAGAAACTAAATGGTAACATGAGGAATGTTTCTGTACAGTTACCATGGAGTGAGGGACAGAAAGTACTGTACAGCAAACGTTGTCTTAACACCTTGGAGGTGTCGAAGACGTAGGAATGCTGTTGATTCGTAATCTAAGATGTGTGTTAATTCTTACTTGTACAAGCTGATGTGAACTAGTTATGTATATGGCTCCGGAATAATGTGTACTTACTATTGTACCGTATTTGCACCGAGGCTTGTACCTTGATCTGTATTTAGGCCGATATCTTTTCAAGTATATTTCCATATTATTTTACTTAAACCTGACTCTGTACCTATACCCGTACAGTCTCGTTCAAGATTCTTCGAACACTGCTGGAACCAGCTGGCAACTCAAGGCCGTTTGTTTACTATATTACGTCGTAAAAAGTATGAATAAATGTAAAAGTGATCGGTGATTGGTTAATTAGTTCCCCGTTGCCTAATTTAATGGTTGGGCTTTGTTGTTTCGTATTATATCATACTACGTACTATAGTAAACGAGATTGTACATGTAGTTATACTTACAGCTGCACCTGAATTTATGCCTCTACCTGTATATTTTACTACATTTTCTCTTTAAATTTGACACAATAGATTAAATAAGATTAGAATTTCATTTACAATAGAGGTCTGTGCGGGCCAACCGCGGGTACCTGCAGTGTGGGGCAGGCGTGGGCTGACAGGGGGCGGGACAGGTGTGAGTTCACGTTAAACATGAGGTGCGGGATGGGTACAGGTCAGTGTGTGAATTTTTGTAGGTCAAGATCATTTAGTTCTTAATTTTGGACACTAGACTCTTAACAGGTGAGCTATCTTAGAGGGAAAGGGAGTACTTGTAATGCCCCTCCCAATTAGTAACCTCACTTCGCGTTCTCTGTTTCCACCCACTACCCCTTTCATCTTACATTACCCCCTTCCCACCTACCTTTCTCCTGTCATTCCACTACCCCTCCCCCCTCCTCAACAGAGACTCTGATTTATAATTGTTTTTTTCCAGATGATGCAGTGGGAATTGAGGAGCGTGACCAAGTTCTTGATGGTGGTGGTTACCATGACAACCGTTGTTATGGCCTCTGTGCCTGGCCCTAATGGTGAGTACCATTACGCCATATATATATATATATATATATATATATATATATATATATATATATATATATATATATATATATATATATATATATATATATATATATATATATATATATATATATATATATGTGTGTGTGTGTGTGTGTGTGTGTGTGTGTGTGTGTATTAATGTTCTATACTAGATATTAGACTTGTGAAACATTTCAAAACAACTTTAGATATTAAAGTCATTTACAATCTTTGTATTAGATCCTGCAGCTCCTGAACTTTTGTGGATGTATGTAAGTTACCAAATTTACCTAACGGACTCCTCAGCTTGTGGTGTCTATGTCAAGGAAAAGAGCCCGGTGACCTGTGTAGGATCTTCCCACTGTTCTTGATAGTCTTGTTCAGGATTATTTTAACTCCCAATACTGTTCTTGTTTCCATGGCTTCAACTGGTAGACTATGCCAACTTCTGCGTGAAGAAGTACTTTATTATATTTGTTTTACAAAACGACTTGGCTAGCTTGAAATTCTTAACTCTTGTGTTCGTAAGGTTTGGTGTCTTAGAGAAGTGATTTGTGTTTACGTTTTTCAACCTGTTCAGGATTTTGAATATTTCTTATTTGATGAGTCGTCAGTTTCAAGCCCTCAGCCTCAATGGGTAGCTAGGATTTCCAATGTCATGAATAATTTTAGTCACCCAGCGATGCACTTTTTCTAGTGATATTTTGACCTTCTGTAAATGTGGTTTACATGCCTGCATACAGTAGTCCAGGTGGAGACGTGAGTAGAACTGAAGGAAAGTGTCTCATCTTTACATTTAATGTAATAATTCAAGATTCACGGAATTTGTTTGTTTCTCTATCACGTTGCCGAGGGCATTTCCTATATTTTCAAGTGCAAGAAGAGTATTAGTTATAGACAATTGTGTTTTGGGTTATTGTGCCCCGCATTGAAGAGCATTTATTAGTTGTGCGACCACTTGAAAAGTCCATGTAAATTCTTTTGCTTGGATGCAATGTCTTTCTGACTCGCCACATCCCTGTAGAGTGTAGATCCTTGTTTCGTTCACAAATTCATTATGTGGCTTAATATAATTACAATAATATCGTTAACGTAGATCAAAAGAGGGTGGGTCCCAGGATGTACCTTTAAGATGTATAGTCCACTCAGACCCGCTTTGTAGGTTTAGTATACTTTGTTTATGACCACCCTGTGACACTTGTCTCTGAGTTAGTGTTTTATCCATGCTAATATTTACCTTCGACACCATGCTTCTGCATATATGACCACAAGCCGTATATAGTATAATGGAACTTCATCGAAAGCCCTACAGTAATCCATATACAATACATCTACTGGTAAACCTTGGCCCACGTAGTCTGTTACTTTATCTAAGCATGTAAACAAATTCTTTAAACATGATCTCTCTATGACACCAATTTGTGATGCGTTGATGGAGTTGTGTTTAATCAGATGGTTGATGGTGCCGTCCTCTAGAGATTACAATCTTATGTTGGAATGTTAGGTTGACTGACCTAGAGTTTTCTGTTACACGCCTACAATTTTTCGAATACAAGGGTGACGTTGGCTCACTTCCAGTCTTAATTCACTTGATCCAGAGATTTTCTGAACAGTAGTGTAGTGGTAAGCATAGCTCATTCGAAACGTATTTCATCACATTAGTTACCACTTACATTTTCATAAAGATTTGAGAAATCACTCTAGACCACTTATACTGCTGTTTTTAAGATAAAGAAAATGTATGTTTACCAAGTATTTCACAGCCTCACCTACCCTGCCATCCCGTCAACAGACCGCCGCTACCCTGACTACATCGTGAAACCCCAAGTGGAGTGTATGAAGGAAGGAGTGTTCCCTCACCCCAGGAACTGTAGCTGGTATTTCAGGTGAGTCTCTGTCTGTCTGTCTGTCTGTCTGTCTGTCTGTCTTCTAATATATGTTAATCTATCTCCGTCTCTCTGCATTGTCTTAAATATCTGTCTCTTGTACTACACATCTCTCTCTTAGCCCTGGTGAATATCTCTCTCTGTCACACTGCTCTCTACATCTCCCTTTATATCTCTCATACCGAGCCTTTCATTCCGCCCAACAACTTCATCAGCCCTACCCCCCTGCCTATTTAACAATCTTATCTGTTAAGCCAATAATAGAAATCTTACCAACCTCTAATATCTCTCCCCCTCTCCTCCCTTGCCCGTCACAGTTGCGTCGACCGTATGAAGGTTGGTTTCTACAGCACATTCTACTTCGAGTGTGAACCTGGTACTGTCTTCAACGACGGGCTGGACCAGTGTGTGTTCCCCTACCTCATCTCGCCTCCCTGTGGCACTAACGGGACAGGATCCAGTACGACAGTTAAACCACCTGTTCTATGCCAGAAGTTTGACTCCAGCAGCTGTCAAGTGTATGAGTTGTGCAAACCATTGAGGACCACCAAGACCCTGTGTACTGGCTGCTTCACATACTTTGGTTACACCATGGCCAAGGATCTTTGTAAGATGAAGGGGGAACTCCTTGATAAGAATACGCACCAATGCGTCCAACCGCCCACGGGTATGGTATTAAGATTATTTTGACGTGAAAAATATTAATGTTAGATTATATACTACTACTACTACTACTACTACTACTACTACTACTACTTTTTTTATGTGGCCTCCGTCCTCCCCCTTTAGTTACACCTTCGCCGCCTTTTTATTACCTTAAAATTAAATATCCTAATTCATATGTAGCTATCCTAGCTGTGTTGAGTTAGTTGAGCCGCAGATCTATGCGGCATTCAGTGACTGTTGTCTCATAGTCAATATCTGCAACTGTTGTCGGCTTTGGGGCCGTTGCTCTCGTTCCCCTGAGGCAGAGCAAAGCCGACATAAGGAGAGAGAAGGACAGTCGACATCTCATCCAGGCTGTAACATAACTTCTGGGCTGCTGCTTCTGTTTGGATAGTACATCCGCGAGTCTGGAGTAGAGGTATCTTGCACTTGGTCCCATCCCACCATAGGTTTTGAACACTAGAGGAGTGAAACTGCCTTGATCAACGCTCTGAATTCTTTCCCCATATGCCCTTATCTTGTCGTTCTCGTTCCTCCTGTGTGCAGCATCGAGAGCTAAGTTACGGTGACATGCGGCCATGGGATAAAAAATCCTGATATGGAAGAAGGCTCGCTGTCCCCGCGTATAGAATCCTCGAGCACTGATGTCAACACGGGCTTCGTTGGATGTGTTTGAAGTCCTATGTTGGAAATTTTCACCGTTCAATGGAAGGAGCATCGGTTCTTCCCATGACATCAGGGCAGATTTCCTTCAACATATTTGCTGCGAGATCCCATACTTCGTCATGCCCCATGCATATGAAGCCCCTTTTCTTGCACACCTTGGGGTGATCGACGTCATAGGAAGAGCCACACACGCATTGGGAGGGCAAACCTTCTACTGGCCTACCGTACCTTAGAGCATTGGCATCAGTAAATTTTTGTTTATTGAGACTGAAACCATTTGCCCTTATCGGTAACGTAGTTAACCTCCTGCGCTATAGCTACCTTTTTTTTCACTTTGGCTGTGCTGTCGTTCTTTCGTAATGGACTTTCGAATCTTGTTTACGTCACTGGTATCCACCTCCCCTGTTGCGTTCTGATCTATTATGTGGTCCGTGAGGGCTGCCGTGAGCTAAACTGAGTTTTGATATTTTGTGGCAGCAATCTCCTCTGGATTGGTCAGTCCCATTCCTCCCAGTCTCGGTGGTAGTGCAAGGAGTGATCTTTCTGCTGGGGTTAAGTGAGGGTGTTTCACTAATTTGGGAATGAAATTGACGCTGATAGGTTTTTCCAGAGGGTGGAGGAGGGGTCCGATATCAGGGATAGTGCGCATCAGGTAGTTCCAGCGATGCATGACTCCATGGGTGAATGCCGCAAAAGCCGCATGTGGCTCTGTGTTAGCAATCTCAGACAGAGCTTGGATTTCTCTAACCCACTCATTCACCTTTCCCGTTACGTACTCGGTCTTGAAGTCCGTCGTGCCGATTACTGCGCCTAGGTGTCTTTGGCCTTTCTTTGTTATTTTGACCTCACTTCCGCCAAACACCTCCATTGCCCGTTCATAATGTTCTGGCTTCATAATGAGGAAGGACTTGCTGGCATTTGGGTGGTACCCTATTTGTGGGCCTCGCCATGTTACCAGGTCCCACCACTTTTTGATGTCCTCCACTTTTCCTGCTCCTGTAAGGTCATCAGCGTACGCCACTTCTTTGATCTCAGTTGTTTAAAATTTTATTGTGTGTTGGAGCATGGATAGGCCTAGTGCATACATTGCCATTGCAACAGGGTCCCCCTGCGTTGTTCCCTCGGTTGACTGTATGATGGTATCACCTCTTAGAGCCTTGTTGTTTACTATATAGAGGTCTGATGGACTCCTATATGATTTTTCAACATACATTGCAAAGCTTGGACACTTGATCTTGATGTTGTGCAGTGTGGCCTTGCGGTTAAGGATGTTGAATGCGTTTGAAGCATCCACCAGGAGAACAGCCTCCCAATCACGCTGCTCAAATATCGTTCTCATGGCGTGAATGGCAGCTTCCCCTCCAGCCTGGTGGCTAGCACAAACTTGCAGGTTCCCTGCTGCTGCCCTGACATTATCCTTTTCCACCTCCATTATGCATTTTACGATGATCCGCCTCAGCACTTCCCTCACACCTATAGGCCTACATCCTGTTTTCTTATCCAGGGGAATGAGGCGGCAGGCCGTCAGAGCATGGAGGTGATGGTAGCACAAGGATGTCAGCTTCCTTGCAAGGACGGCAATCACATTGCAGAGATCACTTGCTATGGGGCCAAACTTGTTAGTGCTGAGGATGACTCTCCAACCGTTTGCATCCAGACCTGAAGAGCCGGCACCTCCTCGTGTCTTCAGTGCCTATTTCCACACCATCCCTCCCGTTATTTTCTCGAACAGGACAGCATTTGGTGGGATATAGTCACCCTGGAACCTGATTCCTACATCTTCACTTGCAGGGGGATGTTTTTCTTTCAATTGCTTTAATTTCTCACTGTTTATTGGCAGAACCCCACCGGAGGATTCCTCAGTGAGAGATCTTACCGCCGAAGACACTTTTCCCACACGCATTTTGTTTCCAAACTTTCTTGCAACGTCATCGGTGTTTTGCTTTCCGTCACCTGTAAATTTTAGTCTCTCCTGCAGTGTTCTTGCTTCACATAGGAGATCCTCAAGGGCCCCATTCTGCCACATTTTCTTTGTGCTTAGTCTTTGTGTGTATCGTCTGACAGAATAGATGTGGTATTATTGCCAGTATTTGAAGAGCTAAAGGGGCGAGGAAGCAGTCCTGAGTGTAATCAGTTATGAGGCGAATCATCTCCCGAATCATTTCTTTGGTGGCCGCACACTTGGGTGGTTCAAACAGGTTAGCTGGCGACCACCTGACAATTTATGAGTAAGTTTCTTTAACCCATATGTCTGCATTTTCAATCGACATGCCATTCCACTGTGGTGGCTGTCTCTCAATCACCTCGTGGACACTGCTACTACATTTTCAGGTTCAGTAGACTCACTGCTATCATTTAGGATATCATCGGGCGGATGGGTCCCGGCGGTATCCACTATGGCCTCCTATGTCGGCTCCCTGCCATATGGGTTATGGCAATTGTTTCCCTTTCTGCAAACCACCCATGGTTGGTTGTGTAATGAGACAAAATCTCACATGAAGAGGTAAGTTAGGAGGTTATAGTAGTAGAATATATAGCGAGAGGAAATGGTAGCGTGTCTCGAGGGTGTGATGTCAACACTGTATATTAACACAGGCTCAGTACAAGTGTAGTATATAAAACACCAATGCGTGTTACAGCTTTATTATACTAGTTCAATAGGGGAGATTAATAGGGGGGTTCGTACACAATTTATGATAGACTATGGTATTCTCGTATAACCTAACCTCACAATTAGAATGGGCACTTCACTAAGTCGATCGTTGGGGAGGTTCGGGATCACTGCACTTCTACAGTCTACACAGCCAGCACTTACTGTTACAAGTGGAGTTGACAGCACTCTGTCGATGGACCCGGCTGAGACTTCGTTACACTTAGTGGCGGGCTTCTCTCGAGCGGGACTGGGGACGTGGTAGCTGGCCCATCCTGGTTACAAGACAACTCCCTGAGGGAGGGCTCGGACGTCCTATATAATGGAAGACCAGCCGTCAGGTTGAGCTGATCGGGGTGGGGGGGGCGGCGAAGGGTCTCCTTACATTTGCCCTCGCTAATGTAGGGTCAGGTCTGGACGTTTTTCAGAGACTATAAGTTGTATCTTCTGGAAAAGTCATCAGGTGGGGCCGTGTGACATGAGAGGCCCTGGTTGATTTGTGGCCTCTTGACTTGAGCTCGAGGGTTACATTTGACCTGGCTAATGTGAGGTCAGGTCTGGACTTCCTCTGCGATGTAGGTTATTGTATATTGGGAGAGAGTCGGCTGGTGCCTTCTTACATGTTTTGTTGGGGCCGTGTCACATGGGAGGGGAGCCTGGCTGATTTATAACCCTTGGTCAACCGCAGAGTTACCCTATACTTTTGACCTCCCTTATGTCCGGTCAAGTCTGGACTGTTTCAGAGACTATAAGTTGTATCTTCTGGAGAAGTCATCAGGTGGGGCCGTGTGACATGAGAGGCCCACAGACGCAACAATGTCGTTACCCGGCATAGTTTCTGCATCTTGGGCGACGGTTACGTCCGCCTCCGACATCTGCTTTGGTCCCATACAGAAGAATAAACTAGTTCTTATGAGGAAAGGGCGGAGAGGCGACAGGCTGGACTGCTGTGTCCAGGTAGTAGGGGCATACGTCCGCTCATGGGTGTTTAGGCTACCCCCCTCTGGGCGACAATCCACACATCAGAATAATACACTGGGAGCAAGAAATTGTCACACCTAACACTTGTTTATAAAACCTTGGCAAAAATAATCACTATTTCCATTGTCTCACAGAAGTAATATTAGTTATATATACTCACTTGGTCGACCCTACATGAAGTGTCCGTTACTAGGGGGGGGGGAGGCCACCTCAAGCGTAGAACACTCGGCCCCATAGGGGCGAAAGTCTCGAAACCACCCCTGCCAAAGTAGGCCTATCGGCACTGGCACTGGCACCTGGCACCTGCACTAGTCAACCCACCAAATACTCCCAGCTCGCTACTCACTTGGTGATAGCCAGTGAACACACGGAATAGTTGCGATTAATGCCGTAAGGGATGATAAGAACCTTCGGTGACAATGCTATGGGTGACATCTGATATTCACCGAGACACCGTAAAATTCCCGCTCCCACACTCCGAGAATATTCCCACCAATAACACTTTAGATCAGGGAGGACACTCCACCACACCCACGCCATGCTGGCCCGCCCGCCCTACTGCTACTACTACGTGTACTAATAATAGTAATAATAATAAATATTTAGGCAAAACTTAACGACGCTGGCGTACGTCAATCACCTACTTTCGACAAATATTGTACAGTCTTGAGGAAAACAGAACTTATTTCTTACAGAACATCCCATAAAAATGAAGACGAGTTACAATCTCGTTATTTATGCTTTTTCGTAGTGTTTCACTATAATTAAGGGACTACAATCCACCACAAACGTTTGTAAACGATAGGATAGTTAAGCAACTGCATGTGTGTATGGAATTGGTGGAAAGTTCATATGTTTGAAAGTGTTGTTGTATTTGTATGTAAACGAGCAAAATAGTATCGACGAATATTGAAGGTGGACGTAGACTACTGTTCAGGACAAGAAAAAAGTCGAAATGGCAACAACACGAATTTTATAATTCCTCGTCATTGTCTGCTATTTTCTCGAAGAAAGACTGAAGTAAGTTCTCCTTAATACAATATTTGCCGAACAGCGATTCATCATTTGGTAAATCAATATCACATACAACTTCTTTATCTTCTTATTCAAATAATAAACTGAGCAGAAAAAATCAACATGAAATATAATAAACAACAGGGAGTAAAGTTGAGAGAAAGAAAGATAGAGACCTTATTAATTTTTATTTTTTTTCTTATCTAGGGTCGGACCTGTGCCGTGTTACCTCCACCACCACATTTCCCCCACCGACTGTGCGTCCTCCCCAGCGTAATCTTGGGTGCACAGAACAGAACAAACGGCCCTACGAGACCTGGATAGGCATGGACCACTGTCAAGACTATAACTTTTGTACTCCCTCAAACACGTATCTGGTGAGAGGCATTTTCATATACAGTGAATCTAATCCTTAAGTTTCTTCATCACTCCCTCTGTTTTACTGACTACTCTTCATTCCAATTAATCAATCGCTTTGTGATGGTGAATCACCTTTTATATTATTACTCCATTATGTTGAACCAGCTATTTATTCTGCTTAAGAACTCTTTCTGTGATAGTGGACCAACTTTTAAATTATATTCAGTCACTCTCATTTCGTACAAAATCAACTCTGAAGCTGCACTCAATCACTGCCTGTACTAATTATAATGAATCAACTCTTAAATTTCACTATTTCCTCCTTAACTCGATACAATCGCACACCTTACTGAACTAAAGCAATTCTTCATCTGTCCCTCCCAGTATCAAAAGAAGCTGTGTCGCGAGTACTTCCAGTGCTTTAAGATGGCCAACGGCTTCTGGGACTACACGAAAGAGAAATGTGACCTCGGTGAACTGTACAGCTACAAGACAAATGGATGTGTCAAGGAACCTAGAGGTCAGTGTTTTATTTGATACAAAAAAAGTTTTTTTGAACAAATACATAAAAAAATAATATTATTAATAATGTATTTATATCTTCTGTCACTTCTTGATTTGCGGGATTAATTACACTTACCTTCAACTGTTGACCCTCCATCTTCGATTGGTTTTGGGGTCAAACCCGCGTTTCTGAGGTTAGTAATCCAGGGCGTTGCCAATGACCAACTGTATATGTAAAGACAAAATAATGGCCTGTACACTGTACACTAATCCTGACATCAAGGAACACCTCGGTATGTTACTTGAGTTTTGTTAGTATAAAATGAGAAGGAAAAAATAATGTCAAACTAATTATTTTTCTTTACTTTCAGCGAATGAGCTGTGTAACACGTCACCCTAGAGACATGTTCTTTGATCCCTGCCTCTTGACACCCACTACTGACACTCGCAAGTTGACACCAGTCAATTGCCATCTCCCACTTGACACCTGTCAATTGAAACTTCATTCAATGCCAGCTACTTGGCGGCAGTTCATTCTATGCCAGCTACTTGGCACTTCATTCCATGCCAGTTACCTGACACTTAATTCTATACCAACTACTTTCACTTCTTTCCATGTCAGCTACTTGGCAATTCATTCCATGCCAGATACTTGGCACTTCATTCTCTGCCAGCTAATTGGCAATTCATTCTTTGCCAATTAATTGACACTTCAATCTATGCCAACTACTTGACACTTCTTTCTATGCCAGCTACTTGTCACTTCATTCTATGCCAACTGTTTGATACTTCATTCTATGCCAACAACTTGACAGTTCATTCTATGCCAGCTTCATGGCACTACATTCTGTGCCAGCTACTTGGCATTTCATTCTCCGCCAGCCTCTTGACACCTGAAGGAAACGCTGGGATACAATCATCGCACTAAGGAAGAAGACTCCCTGAGAAGAGTATTATTATAACATTTTCGGATTCACAACCTCTCCTCCACTAAGTCCGGAACACAATGGTCGACCTTCACAATATATAAATATCTGGCATATTTTTATTTATTTATTATTTATTTTTATTTTTTTTTGCTCTATTTAGTTATTCCAACTCGGACTTTCCTGAAATGATTGATGGAAGAATTTCGTGCATGAGGTTGTCTTTTTGAAGTACTGTACTGCGCATCTTGACGTAGCTAATGATGTATTCATGGTCGCGGTGTTACCAGGGTTCACAGTGCTAGGTGATATTATCTGCACACACACACACACACACACACACACACACACACACACACACAATGATTTTCAGATAACTATTCGCTATGTTTTAAGTACCATGTTAAACACATTTCTTATATTTTAAGAATTATAGACCTTTCAGTAGTTGAATACGATTTTTTGTGAGAAATTTTACGTACATAAGTTTTCTGGACAGTTACAAAATCTCTTCTTAGTGGCTGTAGAAATTAAATAAATACAGTAATAATTTCATCTCTGTGAACTCTGAGTTGTTAAACTGAATCAATATGAATGTACGAAGATCTTGCCTGCAATTAATACTAGAACACAACAAATGCAACACACATGTATTTTACACATGTATACAACGGCTTCAGGCTACGTGTTTCAAAGATTTTCTGTTTATCATTTTGTTAATTTTATTTATTGTCTGTTTGGGTTATTGTTGTTGTTTGTCATATGTGTTGGGTACTATAATAAAACATAAGTAACATGTATATTGTTATTGTGCATTGTCTGTTTTTATTACTGAAATTTGATTTGGGAAAAAAATAGTATAAACATTATTGCTATTGGTCTTTTACTCACTGACACCTTACCACCATGATTATTGTTTTTAACAAGTTGTTATCTGGTGTAAAAACTACAACTTGGTGAACGGTTCTCAAGATCCTGACCGCTAAAGCACCTTAGTATAAGTAACCTCATTTCCTCCTTTTAAGTGACTAGAAAAAGTATAATGGTAGGTACCTGACGTGTTTTACGAACTCGAGCACGTAAAGTACGAAGTTCTCAATTTCGTTCGGCTTTTGGGAAACGTCGCCTATGTTGATTCTCTACTTTATGTTTTATCACGATATGCTGCGGCCATGAAAAGGAACGGATAAAGAATACCTTTTGTTGTTGTTCAACTCCAGTGATGAGGACACTTTACAAACCATTCAGAGGACGTCGTGCAGATGGCTTCCCTCCCTCGAAAGAAAGGGAAGTTAGCTTATCCTTCCCTTTTGCCTGACTGCTAGTTATTTGGCGTAAAGGTTCTCCACGAACGATCTTTCTACCTGAGTGTATTGCCACCGACTCCACCAGGTTATGAGAGCACCCAGGAGGGCTGAGCACACCACTGACACAGGAATAGTAATTGACGCCACCATTAAGGACGGTTCTCTCTTCCCAACCACCTAATCCCCCCCAATCAGCCGAAATCCTTCCTTAACCTCATGGACAATATCTCATGGATAATAACAAATAATAACGTCATCTTATATTACTATTTCACAACTGAATGTATGTACAGTCCTGGGCAAAAGTCCTTTGCCAGGCAGTTTTGGTTAACCTGGTTATGTGGTATCGTCCGAGGCACACATTCAGTAACACACATGATGGAACTACCGGGTCCTTATTTTAAGCGTCGCTGTCTGGTTTAAATGGCGACCTAAACTGAATGACGAGAACCAATGTATTTGCGAGCAAAGACGAAACACCTCCCCACACACACTTCGCTACACTCGCTACACAGTCCGCGAGACACCTCGATCACGGGAACAATCCATTCTATGGCGTGTCTATGTGCACATCCTCTTTGAACTACACCAAGTATCGATGATATGTGTTCTCTTAAGTGAATGTAAAGACAGGTATGAAAAAGCTGCTTAAAAGGATACTTAATTTTAAGTTATAGCAGAGAGAGTTCCTGATAGGAGAGAGAGTTGGTGATGGTTCCAGACAGCAGGGCGGCGGGACTGAGGTGCTCAAGTCAATTTTCTTCTTATTCCTACTTATCATTAGTGTCATATTTCACTTGGCTGTCTTACTACCATTTTTAGTATAATCAAATGCCACATTTGAGATATTACAGGGTTCTATGGTAATTTGGGAGAGAACAGAAAATACAATGTGGACACTCTTCCCCTGATCGCCGGATACACTACCACTACTACTACTTTGCTGTCACTCGGAATCGAGTATCACGATCCTCCAGCTATGATAAGATGATATGAGTAATTAGGGATGTCACCTTCATTGATGAGTTTTGTGGTGACTAAATAGGCCGATAAGGGACCGGCAGAGTTTTTCACAGATGTTGCTCATGTGGAGGGCTACATCGAGTGTGGGAGGGGCGGTAGCAGCATCTTTCCGGCGTTGGTGCTTGTCTGCCTCAGTTTGCAGTCGGGCTAACTCAAATGTGTTGGCACCTTCTCGTAGGGTGCTTCTCCAATCGTTACGATGTGGAGTAATCGTTTCCCAGGCGAGGAGGTCGATTTGACATTTTTTTCAGGTTTATCTTAAAACTATCCTTATAACTTTTCAGTTTCCCACCGGCGTTACGTTTACTATTCGTTAGGTGACTCTAAAGTAACTGCTTTGTAGTCTACTGTCTTCCATGTGGGTAACATGTCCAGTCCAGCGTAGTTGTTCATGGATAATGGTAGCCTCGATGCTCTTACAGTTGGTGTGAACAAGAGTACTGGCAATTGTTCTCTTGTCCCCCCAGCGAACTCGGAGGATGGAACGTAGACCACGCTGGTGAAAGTGCCTTGATGTGCCTCCTGTATGTGACCCATGTCTCGCTGCCATATAGCAGGGTGGGGAGGACCATTGCTCGAGATACACGTAACTTGGTAAATAATTTCAGCTCCCTTCATCTGAAGACACGGTTTCGGAGTCTTCCAAGGGCTTGAGATGTACGTCTGATCAGATGTGGAATCTCTTCATCGCTGTCTGCGGTGGTGGACAGGTGGCAGCCGAGATACCGAAAGTGGGTAACATTAGAGAGGGTAGTGCCGTTAAGATGAATGAATGGTGGAGGTGTGTCTGAACCAGGGGCAGGTTGAAAGAGAATCTGAGTCTTAGGTACATTCACCTCAAGGCCGAAGTGTGCATACGTATCTGCGTAGGACTCAGTAGTGTCAAACTCAAAACCTTTGGAGGGCCAATTCTTATTTTCGTTACCCTCTTCAGGACCAACGCAAGTGCTATATCACATATTTGCAGGATTGAAGTTTACAGCTTAACACATTGCCTTACCTGGCTTACCAGAAGTACCTCATTTGGGTTTGTCTGATCTTAAGTATGTAAAATTGAGTTTGACACCCCTGGAGGTGTTCAGGATCTCCCATAGGTCGCGTTCAGTGTGAGCAAGAAGAGAGAGATTGTCTGCATACTGAAGTTCAATAATGGAAGCTACCGACACCTTTTTTCCTGCCTGGAGTCGTTTTATGGTGAAAAAGACCCTTCTTCCGGGCCTCGATGTCCACACCACTGGCTAAATTGTCAGCCAAGAAAATGGAAAAGAGATTTGGTGCCAGTACACATCTTTGTTTAACCCCCGTTTGGATGGGGAAGAACTCAGACTGGATGTCATTGTGCAGGAAACTGTCGTTCATGCCATTGTGGAGTTAACTCACAATGGGGATGAATTTTGGTGGGCAGAAAAAACTGCTGAGGGTCCACCAGAGGGCTTCCCTGTTGACCGAGTCGAAGGCCTTGGTTAGGTCGATGAAAGCCATGTACAGGTCACGACGCTGTTCTATGCACTTTTCCTGTATCTGGCGGGCAGCAAAGATCATGTCAGTGATGTCGGGTGATGGTCTAAGGGCACACTGAGATTCTGGGAGGAAGTTTTCCGCCTCAGGAAGAAGTCTGTTTAGGAGGACTCGAGCAATAATCTTGCCAGCTACGAACAGCAACGAGATCCTGTGTTAGTTGACACAGTCTGACTGGTCTCCCTTGTTCTTATAAATATTGACGATAGAGATGTCTTTAAAAGCTTGGGGGATTTCCTCCTTTTCCCATATATTCTCCAGGAGAAGATAGAGATAGCTGGTAAGCCGAGGTCCTCCTGCTTTATACACCTCGGCTGGGATTCTATCAGGCCCTGAGGCTTTGCTATTTTTCATCTGTTTGATGGCATTAGCTACCTCATCCAGGGATGGAGCATAGCTGAGGTGGGTCAGCTCTGGATGCTGAGGGACCTGATGGGTAGTCAGGACATCCAAATCGGTGTTTCGGTTGAGCAGTGAGAGGTAGTGCTCTTTCCAGCGCTGAAGGAGGCCATCATCGTCTTTAAATATGTAGTTACCGTCGGATGAGCGAAGTGGGGCTACGCCACGAGTGATTGGCTCATAAAATGTTTTGGTGGAATTGAAAAATTCATACATATTTTGCTGATCTGCATATTTTTGTGTTTCGCATGCTCTATTTTTAAGCCAGTCATTCATTAAATTGCGAAGTTCCCGCTGGGCCGCCGCTTTCTTCTTGCGGAAGGTATCAGCTTTGGGAAAATTTCCTTGTATATATTGATGTATTACTCATGTAAGATTATTCTAGAACATATTGCGTCATTTATGTTATGATTTACTTATTATTGTATGCTGCGATCAGAGTAGAACGTTCTAGAATCTCCCAGGCGTCTTTGTGTGATGCTAGGATGTTCGAGAGATGTCTGACGAGTAGTATACAAACACCAGCGAGCAGGCTAAGAGACACTAGATCGCTTCCACTCAGAGTATAAATAAGCCTAGCAGAACATATGAAGACAAATGATGTGCAAGTATTGTGGAATTGTTGTGATTTATATAGAGTGAAAAGACTAAGGAATTGTATACTGATAGTGTGCCGACTACAGTATATATTTGAGTGAGAAGTCCAGCTGTGAAGCCATTACTCTGTTAACAGTGTTTTGAAGAATACTGTTTATTAAAGAAGACTACAGTGCAGCCTTGTCCCCGACATTGCTAACGTCCAATTCGTCTATCAAAGGACTGAAAGAGTTGGTACACTTAGCTGTTGTTGTCGTATCGTTGATGTGTTTTTTCACCACCAGTTTGGCCGTCCCTCTCCTCACAACCTTTCATTCGCCTGAGTTTTCGTCAGACACGGGCTTTCCTTGTTTCATTTCTTCCTTCATCCTCGCTATCACTTCCTTTAATATCAAGATTTCTTCCTTGGCCCTCTCTAACTCGGCCCTCATAGGGGCACAGCCATTACTGACATTTAATCCCCAGGAGCTAAGCCTCCCGTGACCTTACCTCTAGTGAGATCAGAACACAACTCAATTTTATATTATACAGCAATAACCTCATAGCTGTATGTTTTTCTACTGGCTTGGTTTGATCTGACAAAACTTACTATACCTCCCGCTAAGATCAAAGCTTCTATGCCAGGAGAAAAAAAGACACATACACAGTAAGTGATCATAGTATGAGCTTAATTGAGCTAAAGATCCTATATATCTGGCATAGTATTTGAGACAAAACTTGCCATTTCACATTCTAAAAACAATAACAGGTGCTATTGGCCTTGCCAGCCCATGTCAAAATAATGATTAGCCCAATCATTAATATGGCTACAACATTTCATTAGGTAGTACAAAACATTGATCTAATGAACTCATAGAAAAAGTGACTAATCTTTCTTAAATAAAAAAAAAATATTCTCTGTAGTAAATGTTATCAGATGTCACAGAATTAAATACTTCAAAATACACTCAAAAGCCGCCTACTTCCGCTTACTTGTTAGGGTGTTTTTTTATATTCATACACAACAGCAATACAGTAGTGTGGCTCAGCAT